ACTCCTAATCCACACTAGGTCTCCCTTTCACAAACCTTGTACTTGAAAGCGTGAAAGTCTGCAAATCACTACATGAGTACTATCTGCAGTACTTCACTTGACAACTGGATGTCATCATGTATTTGAAAACTATGTACAGTACTTCAGGTGACCACTAGGTGTCACCGACGTCATCACTAGTATTGCTATACTGTCTGCAGAACCCACAGTGACCACTAGGTGTCGCCGTGTATAAATATCTGAAGAGTAAGTGCAATACCCCTATTGACCACTAGGTGTCACTGACGTCACCACTAGCATTCATATACTGTCTGCAGAACCCACAGTGACCACTAGGTGTCACTGTGTATAATTAGTTTAAAACTTTGTGCAGTACCCCTGGTGGCCACTAGGTGTCACCAACACCAACACTACTATTCTTATACTGTCTGCAGAACCCACAGTGACCACTAGGTGTCACCGTGTATAAATATCTGAAGAGTAAGTGCAATACCCCTATTGACCACTAGGTGTCACTGACGTCACCACTAGCATTCATATACTGTCTGCAGAACCCACAGTGACCACTAGGTGTCACCGTGTATAAATAGCTGAAAACCAAGTGCAATACCCCTATTGACCACTAGCTGTCACCGACGTCAACACTAGCATTGGTATACTGTCTGCAGAAGCCACAATGACCACTGGGTGTCACCGCGTATAATTATCTGAAAGCTATGTGCAGTACCCCTGGTGGCCACTAGGTGTCAGCAACGCCAGCACTAGCATTGGTATACTGTCTGCAGAACCCAAAGTGAACACTAGGTGTCACTGTGTATAATTATCTGAAAATTAAGTGCAGTTCCCCTGGTGGCCACTAGGTGTCACCGACGCCAACACTAGCATTGATATACTGTCTGCAGAACCCACAGTGACCACTGGGTGTCGCTGTAACTGCACAATCACAAGTAACGCTGTCTGTAGTACTCCTTGTGACCACTAGGTATTACTTCCTCTTCTACATACAGGTAAAACTCTCAAATTACTCTCAGACAACCCACCCAAATCTGAGGGGCGCCTGCGTTACCCCCGGTGCCCACACGAGGGTGCCATTGTTCTGTGTGATGGAGGTGACGCCGAGCGCACCGACCTTTGTGGACTGAACTTCACAGCTCTCTGGACTTTCCTCCCGTCTCTTCCCTCCCCCAGCCCTGTATACCTCGGGGGGAGGGGAGGCCGACGCCTCCTGCACCTTTTTAGTTTTTTCGGGGAGCGCCTTGGGCAGCAGCAGCAGCATGTTAGGGGTTAAGTCTCATCTGCCAAGGCGAATCGTCTCCGAGGGAATGGCTACAATAAGCAGAAACTGTCGCTTGAAGCTGCACACGTCGGGGATAAGCATGGCCAGTCAATAGCCGATCCGCTGTGCTTGCCTGGAAACCCATGAAGTCCTCTACGGCTTTTTTCGCTTTACGACTCTTTTAGTTTACGAAAAATAGGCGGAGCTAACCGGTAGGAATGTTAAGTATTCATGAGCCATTGTGGGAGGAGCCAAATCTGTCCGGAAAGGCAGCCAATCAGAGCCCCTAGGAACTGGCGGCATCGTTGGGGGCAGCTATTACGAGGGCCGGCCAAGCCTTAGGTCGGAGGCCTAAGACTTGGTGGCCCGATTGGTTTCCAGTACAGGGGGTTCTCTCCAGGAAAGAGTAACACTTGCAGAGGGGGGCGTGTACAGCCTTCAGTTTACATCTGTGGGAGGGGCTAGGGCTGTGTGAAAATCTGAAGCCTTATCGGGGGATCCAAATTGCTAAGAGGGGCCAGAAGTGTAGGGAGCCGCTAGCAGATATATGCCTGCAGCGCTTCAACTAACAAGTCCATGTGATGTCAGATAAGGGCTGAGACTTCACAGGTCCTTAATGAGCTGAGGGCTGTAGAGGGTCCAACGCCTGATCTGGAATCCACCAATGCTGAAACAGAGTGGAAATGACGGAAGATAAAGAGGCTGCCCTTTCAGCTTCATGAGTGTCTACAGCATCTCCACTAACAAGGCCGAGTGATTTCAGATAATAGCTGAGGTCCTTTATAGCCCTCGGCTGTGCTGGAAGTTAAAGGAGAACTATGAGGGGGAGGTGCTTTTCACTCACCTCATGTCACAGGTCGGCTCAGTAGATCGGGAGGTGAGCGAACACATACCGGGTTCGCTCACCTCTTGATCCTTTCACGGCTCTCTGCTGTGACAGGGGAGGGGCTGGATTCCCCTCTCCCCGCTCCGATCCTCCAGCGCTGACTGGCGGAACGGACGGGGGAGGGAGCGGGTACAGCTGGCTCTGCCTCTAGATAGGCAGAGCCAGCTGTCACTCACGCAGCTGGGCGGATCCCGGCACAATTGTCGGGATCCGCTTCAGCTGCCGCGTCTCTTTATACCGCGAGCAGCAGCTTGCCATATACTGAGCCTAGGGTGACGGGAGGACGCTAGTTTGTGTCCTCCCGTGACCCTAAGGAGAACTATGGGGGTCGTGGCTTTTCCCCATAGTTCTCCTTAGGGTAACGGGAGGACACAAACTAGCGTCCTCCCGTCACCCTAGGCTCAGTATATGGCAAGCTGCTGCTCGCGGTATAAAGAGACGCGGCAGCTGAAGCGGATCCCGACAATTGTGCCGGGATCCGCCCAGCTGCGTGAGTGACAGCTGGCTTTGCCTATCCAGAGGCAGAGCCAGCTGTACCCGCCCCCTCCCCCGTCCGTTCCGCCAGTCAGTCCTGGGGGATCCCTGCGGGAAGCCGTGACTGACGGAGATGATCGAGAATTGAGCGACCGCCGTTATATTTTCGCTCACTTCCCGATCTATTGAGCCGACGTGTGACAGTCTCATTGTCACAGGTCGGCTAGAACATGAGGATGAGAGGAAATCACTCGCCTCATAGTTCTCCTTTAATGAGTTGAGGGCTGTGTAGGGTCCAACACCTTATCTGGAATCCACCATGCTGAGACAATGTAGAAATTACAAGAGTCACTGGCAAAGACCCCCCCCCCCATACAGTGTCATGAGTGTCTACAGCATCTCCACTAACAAGGCCGAGTGATTTCAGATAATGTATCAGGTCTCTTGTAGCCCTCGGCTGTGCTGGAAGTTAATGAGCCGAGGGCTGCGTAGGGTCCGGCGCCTTATCTGGAATCCTCCGCGCTGAGACAGAGTGCAAATTACGAGCTTCGTCGTAGATCTCTATCCCTTTAAGGATCCCTTAAAGGGCCAGCTACCACTGACAGCTAGGGGGTTGAAGATCCAAGGACGAGTCATGTGACGTTCATACACTGGGGATGAGGTCAGTGCTGAGCTTGACAACCAACCACGTGTCTGCTTCTCTCAGTGGTCACCTCATCCGCCCAGCACAGGAGAGAGAGAGAGGGAGGGAGGAGCGATGTGACCAATGAGACTCCGGGGGGAGGGGGGGGAGCAGTATTTGGTTATTCCCTAAAGGGCCCCGAACATGAACTCTTTCCTGGAGAGCCAACCCCCTGCGAGAAGCCTCAGACGGAAGCTGCCATTCTGTTACGTCCGGGCTACCCACTGGAATTAGAACGCAGCACCGACGTGAGAGAGCGGCAGCTTCCATCTGTGGCGTCTCAT